TCAGCCACTCCTCATAAGGCATGTTTTCCATCCCTCTCACCAGACTCACTGCCCTTCTGGACTCGCTCCAGCACCTCAATGTCCTTCTTATCCTGTGGTGCTCAAAACTGGACGCAGTGCTCAAGGTGTGGTCTCACCAGTGATGAGTCCAGGGACACAATCACCTCCCTCCTCCTGCTGGTCACACCGTTTCTGATCCAGGCCAGGATGCCATTGGCCTTCTTGGCCACCTGGGCACACTACTGGCTCATGTTGAGCCGGCTGTCCACCAACAGCCCCATGTCCTTCTCCACCAGGCAGCTTTCCAGCCTCTCCTCCCCAGGCCTGGAGCGTTGCCTGGGGTTGTTGTGACCCAAGTGCAGGACCCAGCACTTGGCCTTGTTAAACCTCATCCAACTGACCTCAGCCCATTGCTCCAGCCTGTCCAGGTCCCTCTGCAGAGCCTTCCTACCCTCCAGCAGATCGACACTCCCACTTAATTTTGTGTCATCTGCAAATTTACTGAGGGTGCACTCAATCCTCTCACCCAGGTCATTGGTAAAGATATTAAACAAGACTGGTCCCAAAACTGAGCCCTGAGGGACACCTCTCATGACTGGACACCAACCGGATTTAACTCCATTCACCACAACCACAAACAGGGTTGACCATCCAAGAACGGAAGCATTAACAATCACTTAAGAAGGTGCCCAACTACTAAACCTTAATAAAACTAATAGAAATTTATGTAAGAAGAATTTCTGCTAATATGTATGGATTCCCTCCCATGTCATGTGTGCCCTGCCCCACCAAGTTTAAATGTTAAAATTGCTGAGCTGGCACTGGTTACAAGGTGATCATAAACAGAGAAGTGCTTATAGCAAGAGCATGTCACTGAAAAAAAAAAATCTGAGTCATAAAATAGACACTTGCCCAGAACTGAGAATGTCAGATGCTATTGGGACATACAGAACAGTGCACTCTCTCCTAACTTGCAGTGATACAGGAAGAACCTATATCAAAGGAGGAAAAAGTACTAATCTTCACACACTCTACGAGAACAACCAAACAGACATTGCAGAGTTTCTAGGTCAACTTTCCAAAGTAAAAGCATCCATCTTCAATTGTTAGGTTTTTTTTTCCCCTCAATTAGATATTTAACAAGTTGCATCAACTATCATCCTTAATTGTTTACAGAAAAGTGTGAAGCCATGGGCTTTGGGCCCAGCAGAGAGTGGCGGGACATGTATGAACCACAGGCATCACGCGTCAACTGCCAGTTACGTTACTGCTCTACTTCATAAAGCCAGAGTAACAAACTAAAAGGCCAACTTGTACTATTCCTGTTTAACAGAGCGTGGGATTATATGAAAAGGTCATAAAGTAACAGGCATGTGCAGTGGACCAATTTCAGAAGGATACCAGTGACAGCAGATAGAAGACATAACATAACACAGACGTTTCAATAGCTACACTTCTCTAGGTGATTTTCTCTTGGGATTAAAAGCATCCTGAGTTCTCAAGTGCCACCATTAATAGCTTCTGTGACTTAGTGACAGGGCAATTCTAGTAAATTAATTTTCAAAGCTAATACAAAGAGTTCAGAAATGCTACAAATTAAGCCTTATAACAACTTTTACTATTAACCAAAGAGACGCGCAAACATGGAAAGTAAACTACTGTCAAGCTCCAGCATTATCTATTTTCTGCTATTTAAGAGCATGCAACATTAACAGTAATACTCTATCACTTTAAGTTGTTAGTAAGATTCGTGTGTGAAGTTCATTTGTTTACTTTACTAATGGTATCTAATGAGTTGATGGTTAGTGCCATAAAATATTCATGCTACTGTGAAAATGCGATGTTTGTGCTATTTTAATGAGTACTACATAGTCTCATGCATGGCATTAAATACAACTAAAAAAATATATATATTAAATTTCATACCCCTGTGTTTAATAGACTGAGAGTAGATATTGACGCAAGACTGCCAGAACTGTCATCCTAATGAGAAAAACAGAAGCAAAACCTTAGTGAATAAATGAAGGAAAAGACCATTGCAATATAGTAACATGCAAGCCAAAATTTAAATTCACATATATTTATAGTCTATGTTTGAAGAAACAGAGGCGCCTGTTCCTCCTTCTCCAGCCCTCAAAACACACAAACACACACACAAAGACTTCCCACTTGTGCAAGATGTACAAAGACCTCTATTGGACTATTTTTTTCTTTTAATTGAAGTTTTATATTTTCTACAATCAGCACCTTTGCCCAAAGGGAGATCTTTCTCCATGGCACTTCTCAGGTACATGACAACAAGCACTCCCTGATACAACGTCTGTCCCTAGTCCACATTATCCATAAAAGTTACCCTTATTTAAACACTAGCCTTGGAAGATACACTGTTAAAAAGGAAAGAATAAAACATTCCTAGAGCAAACAACTTCTGGATAGACAATCTTGAAGACTTTGCTTTCATTCAGCTCATTTTAGATTGCACCTCAGTCACAATCAGATCTTTCACTATAAGCTAGTTAGCTTTAAAGTTGAAAATGAATACTTAGGAATAGCACCATACCAACAGCACAGCAAGGTGATCAGGCAGAAGCGTGCCCGACTACAGGAGACCTGTAATCATAGCTCTGCAGCTTTCCATTCAAATGCCAAAGCTGATTTTCTAATGGAAAAGCCAAGCTTAAAAACAGAGGCAGAAGTAAGGCACAGCCATTGCTTTTAAGCATTGGAAGAAGGAAAATAAGGGTTTTTTATCATGCCTTCAACATTATTTCTGAACATATCTACAGTCTTATGGTACCATGCATACGCCAGACTAATAAAAAGAATTTTAAAGGTTTCTCCCTTGCCATACTATCTTCTTGTTCTCAGTACCGAGTATCATGTCAGTCTCAGAAGGCTTATATTTCACATGAAACAACCAACCCACACTTTAAAAAACAGTTCACAAAAGACAGCATCTTTACCACATGAATCTTTTTGCTAAATCCAATCCTTTTGGAATTTGATACAGCCTGCCTAGATGATGATTTAGCTATTGCAGCATCTCAAGCTCACCAGTAGAAATCTCCTTAACCTGCAAAAGGTTTTTTAAGAGAAGAAAATTCTTTTTGTCTGTGTCATTCTTTGCTAATGAAATTCAAGGCTGAATAGAGAGGGAGGCATTCCATCAGAAGAAGGATTCAGAAAAGACAAAAAAAAACACCCCAAACATCACAAATTAAAAAAATCCAACATCGTAAACTTGCATCCCACCAAATCAAAGAAGCTCTATCATATTTATTACCCAAAGATTGTTTACATTTACTTTGTTTCCCCAAAAGTCAAATTCCAAAGATAAAATGAAAATGCACACAGTGCTCACATTTTCTTTTTCTAGCTTTAGGAAGAGAAAGTTTGTATCAATACTCTTCATAGTTGACCTCAAAGACTTTAAAAAAAAAAAAAAAGAAACACCAACAGACAAAAAAATTCACATTAGCAGAGTCAATGCCTCTGTGGTATCTCTAAAACTGCAGAGTACTCTGAAGATGCATTTGTGCCACAGCATAGCACTGACATCATGAGAAGTTCCCCTTGACAAGTTTTCCTTCTCAAGGTAGCTGAGTAAGCCCTGGTACTAGGCTCTGAACTGTATCTTATGTGCTTTATGAAAACTAAAGGAGGCATTTCACTCACTGAGGTCCTACCAATTTAGTTATCATTTTACTGACAAGATAATCATTGCTAAAAGTCTAACACACCAGGGAACATACCTGTAGAATAGCATTTTACTGACTACATGTGTGACTGGAAAGATGACAGACAGCTCTTGAGAATCTGACCATTACAGTGTCTACAAAGAAAACCATAACAGCCTTCTCACTGTTGCTAGTAGACAAATTGTTATTCAGGCATTACATGCCCTTGCAAGGCCAAATACCCCCATTTATTGTCTGTCCTGCTATCAGGGCAGTTTTTTACCAAAGTATTTCTACCTGTCTGCTAAACAGGCAGAATTCTTGCCTCTCTCTTCTCTCTAGTAGTAGCACAAGATAAGCCAATGTGGACTCTCTGTAGATAACGGTCTGCTTAAAACCACTCCTAGGAAAACGCATCTAGCACTGTATTTATCTACTTTCCAACATTCAGATCCTTAGATTTGTTGACAGACATGCCATATCTACTTTTTAAGCATTAGGAGCTTCATGCATTGCTAAACTGAAACAATGAAGATTGGAGGGAAGAGTTAATATTGCAAATTAGAAGGTCTGAGTGGTACGAAAATCAGTTCAAAATGCATCTGTTTCTCTGAAGAGAAACCTTCAACAGCTCATCCCTGGGAGACCATGAAAGTTCTGCAAATTCAGTGAATGCAATTTCTCCATTAGATTTCAGAATGAAGATAACATCAGAAAAATGTGCAAGTAAAGACATTGGGGTTTAGCTGTCAAGTACGGTATTTTACCTTTTCTTATTTCTTTAGATTTCAGAGCCACACAACAATAATTTTCAGAGATTAGTTGTAGGACAGTGACCCAGTAATCAAAATCAGAGTTAGTATGTAATGCACTGTCTGGAATTAATACTTTCCATTAAAATTAATACCTTCCATTTTGTGCACAAGGTGACAGCTTTTGGAAAAGATGGCTTCACTTCTGAAAAAGCAATCATTTCTAAACCACAGCAAGTTTTTTTATGGTGTGTCAGATTTCAATAGAAAAGAAGCTTTTTTTTTTCAGCTCTTATTTAAGGCTGTCACTGACAGCACTTTGTTGAAGCTGTTGATAAAGTGAATTTTCCATTTTACTTTATTTTGCAATGTGCATTTCCATATTCTGAATTTAATTTGGCTACATTAGGAAAAAACACCATGCCACTTTAAAGAAATTAACAAAAAAGCATTCAAGATAGCTTTAATAAAAAGCAAAAGCTAAACTTAATGACTTGATATTCACAATCATTTTGATCATAGATCATTGATTAAAAGCTCAAAAAGCACAAAAACCAAAATTGAGCTTGCATTTTTAAACAGAACTTGCACTTCAGTCAAAATGTTATACATCAGCCCACAAGTCAGTTTCTGCTGTAAATTCTTATGCATTAAAATATTTCAGCAGTCTAATTTAAAGTAGATCTGTAGACTGAAAAGAATTTATCAGACTGATCATTAATGGCCACATACTTCTTATAATAGCCAGTTTTATTATCTGCAGTTCTTCAAAAAAGGTACACTTCCTAAAACCAAACACATTTGACATTTGCAGTCCTAAGGAGTTGCTCTTTTCCCTTTTTTTTTTAAAAAAAAAAAAAAAAAAAAAAAAAACAAGCAAAAAAACAGTGAAGGAAGGAAGCCCAGAGGAGGGAGATGTCCAGCAAAAGAGTTGGCCTCAATCACATCCTGCTTGGGCAGCTCTAAATCCAAGGAGAGCTGAGCGTGCCAGCAGCTGTGAGCAGGGAGATGCAGCTTGCCAAGAACTTTCAACCCCTGACCCAGTTTGAGCTTGAGCATCTCGCCCAGAGCATGCTGATGGCAGCAGAGCTGCAGGGACTCTGCCATCTCCCCAGGCAGACAAGCCCTGCAGGTTGCTTCTCAACAAAAATATTTATCACCTTCTACATATACTATGAAACTTGCAAATAAATTATTTATAGTAATATTCATTAGACAGTCTCTGAAGGCAGAGCTGGCTAGCATTGTTGTCTCAAAAATGTCTGAAACAGTTTCCACATTTTCTTGGAAGTTATTCAAGGTATGAAAATCACGACCTGACTTCTCTGTAGAGGCATATATAGCAATATCTAGTTAATAGACTGTGACTGGGAGCCACAAGCATTCATTTAAATGTAATTATCAACTTACTACATCATCCTTACCCAAACATAGGTAACAAAGACTACTTTCATCAACCAGGATGGAATCAGGGCATGTGAGCTCTACCACCTTTTTGACTGGGCAACCTAACCTAGGTAGAGATGTCCAAACTCGTGTGGCTCCCTACACAGTTGGACCAGGTGGCCTCTAGAGGTCCCTTTAAGACTAAAACATTCTATGATTCTGACTATAAATCTACAGTGATGCAACTTTTTTCTTGTTTTACTAATACAAAAGTCCTTTAAGCTTCACAGTATTGCCATAGACCTTTAATATGAGTATCACCCTTACTCAAAAGACTTCCTCCTTCAATTAATTATGAAGTTTTTCCTGTTGTGAGTTAATTCTTCCTTCTAAAGGCTTCTTAAGATCTCATTTTTCATCTGAAGGATGCTGATTCATTGCCAAGTCTCCTCAACCTAGGGTTTATTTGCTCCCTCCCAAAGCTGGCCACTGGCATCAGCAAAGTCACAGAATTTTGTGTTCAACCACACAGAAAGCTGTAAGCTGTTCAGGAACAGCAAAATTTGTTGCTAATAATAAACTGCCATAAACTCCCTCACAGGCAGCTTGCCTACAGCTTAAGCCCATTCTACCTGCACAGTCTTATACTTAGAAGCTCATTTTACAAAAGCTGTTAAACAGCAAGTAGCCGTTTTTCTGACCCCAGATGACTGAAAAAAATGAGGGGGAAATGGGAGGCTTGCATTTCAGATCACACTTGATTCCTTGACTTCAATTAGAAAGTCAAAGTGGAAGTTCATGGAGACATTCCAAGTGGAATGTAAAGTATTCTGCCAGGTTCACAGAATCACTTGTGATAAGAACATATTAAGCTTTAATCATATTTCTTTCAACTTCATAAACACCCCATAACTGCATTCTTGCCTATTTACTTTTCACTCATATCTTCTGCCTAATGAGGAATTTAGTCTAGGGATGTCAGTCAGACTTTTGAAAGTGAAGAAGCTATTTTCCACTGATCTTCAATAATCAAGTATGCCTATACTCATTCTAATTCACGACCTGCTTAGCAAATTTGAATATTTTTTGAGAAAATAAACCATTGGCTTTTCTACAAAGGCATATGCACAAGGAGCTATATTGTAAATTTTAAGCATACATGCAAGACATCTGACATATGTTGAATAGGAAGACAATAGGGTCACCTCTCAATTTAAGGATCAAATTTTCTCAGGTGTTGTTGATGTAACTCTGTACACAGCATACCACCAATCCTAATCCCCCTTTGATAACTGTACATCTTAGCCTAGGATGCTTTATCTAAAGATTATGCAAGCTTCAGCTCAACTAAAAGCTAAAAATATTAGCTATTACTGACACATTACTCAACATTATATAAATCCAGTAGTTACCCTCATCTTGCAACTTTATAACACCAACCACAAGACTAGTGGCTAGAACCAACTCAATCATGTTTAAACACAATGCATTGTTTTAATAGGGTTGCTTTTCTGGCACTTTTGGAGAAGTTCAAGAAAATATGAATATTACAGTTTAAAAGAAAAGCAATCACTGAGGGACAACAGGATAATAAAATATGACTATTTCTGCAGATTATGACTTGGTCTCCAGAACAAACATCTTCATTACTCAGAAAAGGGAAGCGCATGACTGGTAGCATTGTGCACATTGTCCGTTTCTCAGGATAGCAGAGACATCTGGATTTTTACCACAGTAATTTCATAGCACAAAGCCAACAGCATTCATCTGCAATTGAACTAAGAACACTTGTTTTCTCTCACTCAAAAAGGGAAACCATTTAAATAAGTAAAATTTTATTTGAAAATGTTGAAAAAGCATCCAAGTTTACTTCCATGTAAACAGCTCTTCCTGCAATCTCACTTTCCTATGCTTCATTGTGTGACCAGTCTCATTACAAGTCCTTCAAAAAGAACCTCTCTTTTTCACTTTAGTTGCTCCCAACAGGCCCTCGTCTCCACGAAGCTCCTTCTAGAAGATGGCTGAACACTGCTTCATTCACAGCTATTTGCACCTGCCAAACACATCAGCTCATACGGAATTTAAGAAAGAAGACAGAGAGAAAGCAGCTCTCAAGAGATTCAAGTTACTGTTTTCACTAACACAAGGACATTCACATTTCTGATGTAAAAAATAAAAATCTTTCAACTTCAGGATTACATATTAACGTGAAGTTAATGATACATTACCAATTGCTCAGTTTTAAAGACTATGCCTTTTTATTTTATCAAATTAAAGACAGACTCCACAGGAAGGAATATGTGGAAGTGCAACTTGGTATCAGGGGAAGGAATTCACAATTACCTTTCTGTAGTACCCCAGTAACTCCTAAGCAAGTTTAACTTACTGTACTATTTTGAAACAAAAAGACTTTTAATCTCACACAAAGCACAAGTGAAACAAGATTACATGTTTCAGAATTCTAAGCAATTTGTCACAAGTTACTCAGAGAGTAAGTATTCCTGGCAAGGAGGACTATGGAACAAGGAGTTAGAAGAAGAGCAAAAACAACAACAAAAAACCAACGCCACAAAAAGAAAACCCCATTCTGAAACACTACACTACCCAAGAATGCTTCAAGATGATAAACTTTACTAGAGTAATATCTAGTTTAATTAAAACTGAACATACAAGTATAACTACGGTTTTATTGCACAAAACAGGCAAAAGTAACTCACAACAGAACTTCATGAAGGAAGACTAGAATATTTCACAATCACTTTACCTTTAAAAAAAAATTGTAGCATATCATGTCAGGTAAGTCAAAATGTTGCAGGAAATTCATACAAGTTCTGATGTTTTCATCTGAAGAGCTTAAATGCTTTTGGAACATATATCACCTTTTTATAAGCAACAAAGTGTACTGAAGAATGTACTAGGCAATCATAAAACTCACACTCCCCAGTAACTAACATTCTTTACACAAAGACCCAGAACAGTCTTCCCAGTTCACTTGATGGTTGCACAGTAACAACATGGTAACAGCAGAGAACTGCAATACCAATGCATCAGTTTTTACAAGTTTTATATCTAGAGTTGTGTAGTGTCTACTCACCTGCTGAATAATTTTGGAATCTTTTGGAAGGTTTTCTCTGGGTGGGACTTTCCCAAACAACTTCCAACCAGGAGCGCTTTGGACAGCAGGTTTGAGTTCCTTTGTCCTTTTAGTGAAAAAGTTTCTGAAAAGATAAGAGGATTTCCTTTTTGTTTATTATAAGCATAAAAACAAATTATATTTGTACTCACTTCATCTCTCCACCAATGAAGATATTTACTGTTCAGCAGATGCATAGTGTGCTACCTTAGCTTTCAAGATCTTATACTTCAAAAAAATGAACCTGAAGTGGATTAGCTTTCATTACAGGTGATTTGATACTAATGTACTTACTGAGTTTTACCTCTGAATACTAAGCTACTTTATGCAACATCAGAGCTCTTTCAGTAATACCAGACACTTCCTTAAATCTAAGCTAGCAGCATGCAACAGCTCTCAGACTTTTGCTTGGGGTTTGTTTCAGTGTATCTCATGGAGCTGTTTGGAGACTGAAAAGAAACCAGCTGGAAATTGCTGTGTAACAGATCTTTAAAAAGAAATGGTGAATTATTAATTCTGCTATAATTTTCTGCAATCTTCACACCTTCAACTCTCATAACACAGACCAGGAAGCCAGGCAACATGCATACATCTTCAGATATTATTAACAGATAACCTTTGCCAGGGCCTAGAGCAACTACACTCAAACAGGCAGATGACTGCATTGCTCTATTACTTCTTAGAAAGCCAACCATCACAAGATCATATTAGCAACCTTTGTCTAGATACATAAACATATTACTTGACACCAATCACAAGCTCCCACAGACCATGTTATGTATGAGTACTTTGAAAATATAAGAACTGCATTTATTCTGAATGTTGGAAAGTTAACTTTCCAGAAACTTATTCATAACAGAGGGATTAGAACTTTAGTAGTCTGGAAGGTTACTTCTCTGGATGCTTACAAGTTGAGCTCTGAATGAACAGAATATGGAGCACTTACTGGAAGACATTTGTGCAGTGCTAAAATAACTAGCTAACCTTGTACTTTCACACTCTTCCTCAGGGAAGAGATCCCCACATTTATTCTTCACTTGAAGCACTTACTATATTTTAAAATACATTTCTTTCTCAAATTGAATGCATTCATGTTTGTGCACAGAAGCAGTCTCTCGGCTTCACCCAGATAGAACTAGCATGCTTCAAACACACACAATCTGCCTGAATATTGCAAAGCTGCTCTTAAATTCCACTGCTGTCAGGGTTTCTGACTATGCAGCATAGTTCTACAATTAGGAACTGTTATCTTTTCTAAGACACTATATAGCTTTCAAATACAAACTATCTTTTCAGTTTACAGAATGTTTTTTGTTATTTGGGAAATAAGCAAATGTCTGTCACAAAAATGCCTTCTGTGCAAGTTTGCATGAATGGATTCCACAGATACTTGTGAGCAGCTGAAGATCTAGCCACAAGAAAGCAGTAAAATGGAAAGAAGTAGATGTTGATAAGGTCTGAAAGTCTCCCAAGAATTGCTGAGCTCCAGAATAGTGGTCCCATGGCATCCAAGAGAACTGAGAAACTCAGAACACCAAGACTGTGCTTCCTCTGTCTGAGGCTACCAGCACACACTGCCATCAACATCTTACCAAAAAAAGGAACAAGTCTGCATTCAAGAAAGCAGCTGCTGCTATAGGCAGGCAGGGAGTGTGGGATTACATTCACACCTGATGAGAGAAAGCACCTTTAAAGATTTGGTTTTTTGAACACCCGCAGAGAAGCTGTTGGTGTATCAGTGCGCTCCTCCGCTTCTGTGGGGATCTCCCAGCTGTTGTTCCAACCCAAGAACTGAGTAAGCACGTTAGGGAATAATTGCTTACACTGTACCAATAGTTACCTGTCATTAATGGAATCCAGCTGTTGCTATTTATAATAGCTTAATTAATACAAGGTATTCTAGTAAGCACTGGTTGTGATCTCTGCATCCCACAACTCTGCTTCCGTCAGGGAACCTTACAACATCTTAATCCAGCCCTGTGTAAGCAAAGTAAGCACCCAGAACTCCAAACCAGCAGTTTGACACATAACCTGGAAGGAAAGTCTGATGAAAAGGCCAAGCCATGGTACCAACCACTGTCTTTAAAAGACACTGTCCTCAGTCAGTCCCAGGACTGCATACCATTAATGAAATGTACAGGTCTATCCATACAAGGGGAAAAAAAAAACAGAACCAAAACAACAATAACAACAACAAAAAAAACACCACCAAAGAACACAAACCACATCACACATGTAATATACCACACTACAGCCTTGCCCTTAAATGTGCAATACTCCATCAGCTGTATTACAGCTTAACTGGGGGAGATCTTTTTCTCCAAAAGCAGATATACAGAAATATACATTCTGGAGTATTGTTCTTGAAATATGAAATGGCTCGTGCATCCTGACTTCATGGACAGCCATAACCATCTAGTCTCTGCACATACTATGGAACATCACCAGGAATACCTAGCAATTCATCTCCATTGTTTCTAGCACTTGTGGAAGCTGAAAAGGTGTATGCCTTTAACAGGGATGGGAACCTGTCACCGTATCAAATCTGTTTGATGATTAACCAGGAAACTGGCAGATTTAAAAAGGAAAAATGTGTAAACACACTGAAGGTTTTAATTAATATTTGTGTACAAAAGAATTAAGCATGCTCATGGCTCTTAGGAGATTTGATTTTTTAAAAAAATTAAACAAATATTAAAATGAGCCTTACGGAACAGTCTCCACCATAACAAATCTTGAGGTATTGGTTCATTTGGGTTGTTTCTTTTGGTTTTGTTTTGCGTTTTTTTAAATATTATTTGGTGTACTGAATTAAGCACAGGCTGGTTTTGCTTCTTATAAATGCAGAACAGAAAATACAATTTTACTTCTATTGAGTGGATATTCATTGAAGTCTGTTTCTTGTGAAGGCAAAGCTTGTCAAATGTTGCATCATACCAGAATAAACTTCATACAGGAATTCTAATCCAAGAGAAGTTAATGGGAGGCTTATAAATGAGCTTGCTGAAGATGGAAGGACACTTTAAATACATTGTTTTGGCAGCTAACCGTATCGCATCTGACACGTTGTTGACAACAGTAAAGCCTTACAAAAGCCCTGTTAAGGAACAGCATCTGTGAATGCTTACAAGTTGCATTCACTGAATTGCAGCAAGTGTACTAGATTTGATATATTTGTTGCTGCTTAAAATATTCATGAGTTTCACTGATCCCAGCAAAAGTCATCCATTGAGATGGACTGAAAAGTCAATAGTGTTTTGATACAGAACGTCAAAATCCATTTGAAAACTTAAAAATGCCTTAAAAAGAAGCCTACACTTCAGAACTGAATAATGCTTTCTGTCAAAGGGCCTACGGGACAGAAGTATTAAATTAGTTCATCAAATTAAGCTCTAGTTTCCAAAAGCCCAGTGGAAAAGGTGCAAGTTTTTTCCCCTACTAGTTTTATATAACCACACTGGAATGCATGTTAACACTCAAAAATGTTTCAGTAGGTACACTGAAGAGTTTGAAAAGCACCTGAAGCACTACAGAGTAAGAAGCCATTACTGACACATACCAAGACATCTATTCCTAACATTGTCTAGACTACACTATACAAAAGTCTATGGGCTCTCATGATCACCCAACTACAACAGCTGTAGTAACACCTACCAGTGGTAGTTTTCTTCCTTATTTAAAGAACATTGCTTCAACTGTTCCTGCTTGCACAGTGCACTCTGTGCAAGAGTTTCACCACACTGATCACAATGTTAACCGTTTCCGCAGGTGGTGTTCCTGTGATGTTCTAGTAATGCAATTGCTTCTTTCCACTCTGATTTTACTTTTCAAATTACTTTTTTTGTTGCTACTTCAAAGAAATTAGTGAAGTCTAAATGCAGGTAGAATTGAGTCTCAAAAGGACATAGGTAGAACTCGATATTTTAGTGGGATTTTTTTTGTTGTTTACTTTGGTTTTGGCTTTCCCCATCACCACCATAAAGCCTGAACACAAAACTTTTTTCCATTTTTTGACCTAGATGTGCCCAAGCCCAAGAGAATGGGAGATTTCCAAGTTTTAGAGGAAGTTACTGGAAAATACCAGAGACAATTACTTCAAGCTTGATCTTAAATTCCAATCAACATCAGACCAGGCTGCCATATTTGGAAAACAGCCACACAAAGAAAGCTGAAGTGCTTTGAATAGCATCCGTCACGAACATCAGCAGGTAGGAAGGGCACCGGGCTAGATACAAGTCCAGCACTCCACCTCTGCACACAATTGATTCATCTCTCCACAAGGCCAAGTAGTCTTGTGACAGTCTTCTGTTTAGCCAAAACCATCACACTTAAATCTAGTTTCAAGTTAGCTGTCATTTTGCTACAGCTCTTTCAACAGAAATCACACATCTTGACCTTCCCTTTCTACGATTCTGCTGTGTCAGTAGCAACAGGCTATGAGTATTGTCCTTCTCTGTAATCCAAATAAAATCTGATGTTTCCCTCCTTCCCACTTCAAATGCACACCTTTGGGTTTCCAGTCTTAACTTTGAGCCCCAAAAGAAGCCTGCCAGAAGAATCACCTCTGATGCTGTTGAAATACAGTACTACATTATTGGAAGCAACCAATTTTATTTACTTCCCATTTTTTTCCCTAAAACTGCCACTTGAGTCCAGCATTCTGAACAATAGCACCTTGGAAACCTTGTTCACCAGCCTATACCTGCCCTTAGTCCTCTAGCTTTACAGCAAGATCTAGATCCTGACTCATCTCTCCGCTCCTTCCATGAAACTGTAACCGGTACCCACACATTCGGCACAAGTGTCAGCCCCAGCTTTCAGTCATTTGGAAGTCATTTGGCAGCACAGCTGTCCTAATTTGGTAGCGAAGCAGGAGCATGGTGCTAGAACCACCAAGAAAAAAGAAAAGAGGAGTTTAAAAATCTGTGAAATACAAAAAGTTGTGAGATAAGCTAAAATGCAGTGCTGGTGTGTAGCTTGCTCTGCATTATTAAAGTGATTCCAACGTGATTGCCTAGAAAGCCAAACTAACAGTTTAGCCAGTGAGTCTAGTAATGCAGTTTCAGTCAGGTTTAACAGGCACAG